TTATTTTTGCTAATGTTTCATTGGATAAATCATTAGAAGTAGGATTATGCATATTTTAAATTTTGTTAAATCCTGCCAATTGTCCTTAAAAAGATGGCACCTTTTTACTTTCCTACTATTATAGTGCCAGAAACCTTCTTCCTTGCCAGTACTAGATATTTGTTAATCCTCTAACAGTTTTTAGTTTTTGCCAACTTACTAGGAAAACTCAATATACTAATAGTGTGATGATTACAGACCAGAATAGTTCTTACCATAGGCCTGTAACTGTCTTAAGTATTTTTTCAATCTCATTCCCATTTTGGATTAGGTGACATTTAGCTCTTAAAAAATGACAATGCTTGGAGAGATGATTTCTTACCTATGTGTGTTTCTGCTGGCAGGAGAAACTTCTTAAGTCTCAGTGTAGTCTCACAGCCAAGATGAAGAAAGCCATGCAGTTACAGGACATGGAAGCGAAGAATACTACAAAGTGGAAGGTAATAGGAGGAACTGTTGGGCATTTCTTATCCCTGAGGCCCTTTCAGTCTGGGGCTGCTTGTGGAGTTTTTCAGGAAAGAGCTTTGAGGGTGTCATCAGAGGTCATGTCCCTTGCAGATAAGGTGATGATGGGAGAGGAAGTGTCTGTCCTTACTGACTTGTAGCTTTGGGCAATATGAGTTCTACACAGTTCATTCCCACATCTCTACTTCCAGGTAGTGCCTGTCTCCTTCCTACTCTCTCTTAAATATACTCTCTAGGTTGGAGTTGGTTTGGGTCCATGGCACTGTGGAAAGAAACAAATGAATGGACTTTCAGGGAGGCAAGTCTAGGTGGGTGGTATCATGCATGCGTGCAAACACACACACACACACACACACACACGCACACTGCTAAAGATTTAACAAAACTAAACAGGTGTTCTGAGGGCTAAACTAAATGGTAAATGTGAAAGTGTGTTTTAGTTTAGAAAGTATCTGAGCAAGGGATTGCTTTCAGCAGTAGAGACTCAAATGTTAGGAAGAATGAATGAATATTGTATTGACTAGTACAAGGATATCATGTAGATGTAGATAAAGGAATAATGGAAATTCGTATTGGAATGGGCAGGAGCTTTCCTAGAGGAGTCGATTAGGATGGAAAGGACCATGGATTGTTGGGGAGTCATGGGCAAGGAATTTAGGAGCAGGGGCCATGCAGAACAAGGAATGAGCAAATGTCATGTGGCCATAGGTGCAGATAAAGAATCAGCGAATGAGAATCAGTACAGAGTTTTCAAAGCTGCACGACTTCCTGACTGAAGAAGAGCAACTGTTTCTTCAGAGACTGAACAAAGAAGAAGAAGAGACAAAGAAGAAACTGAATGAGAACATGTTAAGGCTCAATGAAACAATCATTTCCTTGAGGAAGCTCATCATAGAGATCGGGGAGAAGAGCCAGGGCTCCACCCTGCAGTTGCTCCAGGTGAGACAGGCACAGGAGGGGATAATCTCCCTCTTTATGGAGTTGTTAGTTAACATCACTGACTGAACTCCTTCTTGTCTTTAGAGCTGAATGCCGTTTGTGGTGAGCGGGTTTAATAGAAGACATGCCTTCTCTTTGTTGGTAGTTGTATACTATTGTCATTATACAATTAAAGAGTCAAAGATTCGCCATTCAGAGGAAATTAATGTGATATTTAGATTTGCTGAGCTCAGGTAATATGAGAAACTTAGATTTACATGGTCTGATAATTTATCTAGGATCAGAAGCACATCTAAGACTTTCTGATTCATCTTATTTTTACACTTATAATTTTGTATTAAACAGTAAAACAAAGCAAGCATAAAACCACAAAGTACATCACTGTATCAACAGTTAAGAGAATTTACCTTTCTTGCTAATTTTTAATCATTACAGTGATAGCTTGATATAATTTTGTTTTTATACCCAGATTTTGATTGGTACATTCATTTAAATAGTTTCTAATATCCAGCAGCCTATCGTAATTCTAACTCAGCACTTAAATTTGGGTCCTTATAAC